GTGTTTGCTATTGAACATTTCAGCTAGCATGTAAATGTTTTGTTTTCTTGCTGTTACAGGCCCTAGCAAAACAGTTTGCTGAAATTCTCCACTTCACACTAAAATTCGATGACTTAAAGGTACTGCCTCTGTGTTTTTCATGAACCACAAGGCTCAGTAATGATTGTCTGTGTTAGACTGGTGCACAGAACATTATGAACACCATATGAAGGTCATAGTCAACCTGTAAAGTGAATATCAACAATAAACTAGTGTATTTGTGTTGAGCTTATTCATTTATTTGCTTATTTGTCTACTTGAGGAAAAGCATCTACATTCTCATCATAACAATAAACATGTTCCAAATAAAAATACACTTTGTCTCTAATGATTGCAGATGACAAATCCAGCCATTCAAAATGACTTTAGTTACTACAGAAGAACACTGAGTAGAAGGAAAATGGCAAATGCGGTGAGTTTCAGCTGAATATATCAAAGAGTACGTATGATGCACGATACGTATATGAACTTCATATATATATATATACATTGTATCTGATATCAAAGAGTGTGTGTTTATGAATACATTAATTTGTTCAAAACAAAGTTGATAGCTTGCCTAATCAAGTCTGAGTCCAAGTTATGTTTAAATTTGAATCAAACTGACTGAATCAAAGGTCAGAAACTTGTAAAAGAAAAAAAGCTTCCTTATAAGCAGAGTCTGTGCTTCCAACAAGAGTATAATGCATATCAAGCCACAGAAGGTCTTTCTGCTGAAACTGTGTTATTGTTAACCATATTATTTGTAAACCCAAACTTAAATTACTGTAAATAAATGCAAACTACAGGCAAATTGCTAAAAGTTAGTGCTAAATGGTTGAAGTGAATTTTGCAATCTCATCTAAGTTAAAGCATATTGAAATTTTTATTGCAGGATGATGATAATGAAGGAGTTCAAGTGACCAATGAAATGGCAAACAGAATGTCTTTATTTTATGCTTACCCCACACCACTTTTGAAAATTCTTAGTGATGCTACCTCAAAGTTTGTGACAGAGGTAATGCAGGGGCTCCTTTTGAATGAAATTTTTTAAGTATCTTTAAAAGAAGTTTTCTATGAAACCACCCTTGTGAAATTATTTGTTCTTTCGAACAAAATGTGTTGCAAGATGTTTGGCTAAGGTAGTGGCTGTCATTGATTTTTGCTGTACAATAGAATGGAACTATACATGTAAGAACAAACCTCTCTTGGTATTCCTTACCACGGTCAAAGTGCTTTCCTCAAAGACTGATTAAACAACAACTTCTGTCGTCTTCCACATGTGTGACCAAAAGGGTTGTATTGAACTTAAGTGTTGTATAGTGCCCTTTTGACACAAACTTTTTCTCACACCTTTAGCACTTTGTTACCTTTTGTCCAATTCTGAAAAAAGGCCTTCACTTTCCCCTTCCCCCATTCCTGCCATAAAATAATTCAGATGGTAGAGAACCCTCCATGAACAGCAATAATATCTCTAAACCATGCCATGTTGGAGCATTCTGTTCAAGCATGATTATGTAGATTTTCTTGGAATTGCAGTACCACATTTAGCCTCTCCACGGTATTCAATTTCAACCCTAACCTAATATTATCATTATAACATTGAACTCTTTTCACGCAAATTCTCCTCATAATGCTTATTATTTTTCAAACATATTTTCCCTCCAATATTTACTGGTATCCCTTGGAAGGAGGCAGTGGAAACTATGAGCCCCACACTTTTAACATTTCTTTCGGCCTCACAAGTTATGTTGTGTTCTGGGCAAAATGAAAGTCTTTAACACTGAAATGTGACGTAATCATAGAAATGACCCATTTTTCTTATCTTGTTCCCAGAACAAAAGCCTTCCAATAGAAAATACAACAGACTGCCTTAGCACATTAGCGAATTTATGCAGAACTATGATAGAGAATCCGTAAGTATTGTGGTCTTCTCTCAAATATTATAAATTCCTAGTGATCCTGTTTTGTCCAAGCAGTTGCCAAATTATTTGGTGAACTGTATTTGAGTTGTATTGGGATCTTTACAAATTATTGTTTATCGGAGGGATAATGCAAAATAAATCAACCCTTAACCCGTTTAAACCCTAATATCAGGATGCATATTCTCCATACTGTTGTCTATAGGGTTCCTAAGGTGCTCTCAAGAAGAATACGTTTAGCAATCAACAACTTCTCTAGTTGGTGATCATTTCCTTTAATTTTGTGACCTTCGTGTATGATTCAGGTGTGATATTGTATGGAGACAATGCATGCTAGTCACTCTTAAAGGATCAAGGGCTAAGATATGGGACAGTGCCAAGCTGGTGCTGGAGGACTGGCCGTCTTTATCAGTGTGAACCCTTTGAGTTTCCTACAGTGTTAAATTTGTAACCTATTTCCATATCAATGTATGATGCAGTAGGAAGGTGAGAAGAACATGCAAAGTTTTCAGCCGAATGACATTTTCTTGTTACAATATCAAATTCGATTTTCGTAACCAATTTAGCAGGAAATGCATCTCATTCAGAAAGGAGAATTTGGGTCAGAAGTTGATGTCATGGAGGCTGAGTTTTAAAACTAAGTCATTCTCCACCAATTCATTTTTCTGTTTTATCTGTGTTTTGTAGGGATTTTTCTGCTAGAGTTGCAAACCAGGAAACATATCTTTTTTGTCTCCGTGTCATGGTAGGTTATCATCACTCCCTAATTACCTAAACTGACATAGTTTTCAAACTGGTGACCAATGCACCTGAATCGGAAGATGGGTGCCTAGCAATGTTTGGGGGTGGGTCAGCACCATATCACCCAGCTATTTCACTGTTTGGAAACTATGAGAAACTGTGGCAGTGTGAGCCATGCGGTTCAAATATAGACTGACATGAACCATATGACCCCTGTGGGAGGGTTAAGGAGGTGTGTAGGAACCCAACCATGTTCTCAACCAGAGAGAGAGAGAGGGAGAGAGATAATTAGATGAAGCAGTTTCACGCTCTTCTCTTACTTTCCTCCTTTGTGTGAAATTTCCAACTTGATTCCAAAATCACTCCATTAGCACCTGCAGGGCTTAGCACAAATTATTAGAGATTTTTATCAACTACGCCTTAAGTATCATCATTAAAATCTGGTACAACCCCATTGAAATCCATGTCTGTATCTTGATCTTAACAAGCAATGTGCTGGAATGACTTGAAATCGAGCAAAGGTATCAGATCCTTAGAATAAAAGCAAGAACTCCTTTCTTTGTAAGCCTAAATGTGAAACAGATAGTTGTAAGACACTCGATTACATTTTGAGGCAGCATTCAGGCCTAGACATATCACAAATAGCAAGCAAGTAGTGAAATGTATGTATGGTGAACTCTGTGTATGGTGAACTCTGTGTAGTGTCATCATCACTAATTTTGTTTTCTCTTTAAGGTTGGTCTTATAATTCTCTATGATCATGTACATCCAGTAGGAGCTTTCGCCAAAACATCAAATATAGATGTGAGTATCCTAGTGTTTTCTACATTACCTCAGTCTTTTCCCTTATACATACCTCCTCGAGTGTTACCTTTTTAATTCTGCTGAAAAACTGCAAATTTTGATCATCCTTCATCATGATTTGTTATACCTTGTAGGTACAAACGTGTTCTAATTTTTCTATTATTCGCTTACACTGATGCATAATACAGAGAAAGATTTTTGCAGAGCTTAGGGGTAGCAGTAGGGAACTGATTTGTGTCAACTGTTACACCTTGAGTCATTACGACAATTAAGGCACCTGTTGTTGTACACAAGAATGACTTAATCTTCTCTCTCTTTTTGCCTTCTTTCCCAAGATAAAAGCGTCGATAAAAGTGTTAAAGGATCAACCTCAAGGAACCGTAGATGGCCTTCTAAATGCTTTGAGGTGAGACATGAAAGTCTTTTGCCAAATACCCGAAGTCTTTCCTGAATTTGATAATTATTTATTACTTGCATACACAAGAAACAAAATGACATAAAATAATTTGCTCTGTTGTTTAAGTGGGACTGTCATTTTCTCCAGGGATTTTCAATCATTCCAAGTCAGAATTTTTCTCGTAGACTTGGCGAATTAAAATCCGTTCAAGTCTGCATTTTTATCGTAAAGCTGGCGACTAACATAAATTTTCCTCGTGTTCTCAAGAAAGAGAATTCTCAAATTTTTGTCACCTATTTTACAGACGTTTTTATTTATAGCTTTTCAATTTAAACTGATTGCATTTTCTCGTCATCTAAATGACACCAACAAGTTCTTGTAGTGAAATACCTATGCTAACTGCCTCTCCTCAACTTTCAGGTATAGCACAAAACACTTAAACGACGAAACGACGCCCAAGACTATCAGAGGTCTCCTCGTTTAAAAACGTATTACCACAAGGAAACACAAGGTGCATTCAACCGTTAGGGACATCCGATGGAAGTTCAAATTCTACTAATACCATAAATTATTCAGGGAAAATGGAATAGTTGTGGAACTTTGAAGGTTCATGAGCACTGCTGTACTGTATACGGGAATGTAAAGTAAGAGTAATTCCGACCGCCAGCCTTTTTATAATAAGGGACTTAACATTTCTTGATAATTAAAACAAACTGGGAGGAAAAACTATTGAGAGTGAAATTAGAGCGCATTTCGTTTGAGTGTCCTAAAACCAAAACTACTCAGCCAATCACAACTATGGAGAATATCACATGTAGCCAATGAGAAGTAAAGTTAAAACAAGCAAACTGCCTGAAGCGCGGGAAAGCGTTAGTGGTGAAGTCGTGATTTGTTTTAGTTTGTTTTTCATTAGTTGAGAGGGTGTGGCCAGTATTCTCGACCAATCACCTTTTTCTAGTAAGGCAAACCAGGATTACTTTCACACACTCGAGTGAAAATTGCTCTAAATTAGAAATGAGGTAGCTTGTAGAGCTGGGGAAGAAGATGAACCAATCTGTCCCCTTGTATTTTCCCATTGCACGAGTCTAGACTCTCACAGGTGTACATCCAGGTACCTTTAGATTCTCATGAGATACGTCACATGTAAGATGTCACGATACGTCGCGTTGCTTTTCTTTTTGGGAGATCGGTCGGTAATTTTGGAGAAGTAAAGAGCAGAGCAGTATTTAAGAAGAAATCTTTTCACTCCCTGATATTTTGATATTACTGTCTTCCTCGTTTTCCTTGCCACTTCTCTCAGTGTTATCAAACCAACAGGCATTGAGATATTGGAAAACTTTAACTTTGGGAAACAGCCCTGGTGTAACACTAAATGCTCAGAACTAACATACTTAGAAATCTGTGAACGGAGTAAAGGAAGTAGAAATTGGATCTTGGGAGCGGAACACAGAAATTCATTTGAAAGTTCACGACTTTATGTAGTGAAGAAGGTGTTGCTTCGTAATTGTTCATAACTTTCAGTTTCAGGCCTCGCTAAGTTCCTGTCTTAAGTTGTGGCCTCGTGTAAGATGACCCGAAATATTCATGGTAGAGGAAATTAGCGGTATTTAAGTATTGCCACCCACATGCCCTTTGTTTATAGCTCGTATCGTTTGTGTAAGAATAAATTACAGCTGGTAAATGGGAAGAGTTTCGGCTTTCAATTGACTTGTAAATCATCATTGCGAATTGTGTCTTATTCGCGGCGTGTAAACTTTTGTTTTAATTATTAATTAAAGTAGCACTCCCACAGCTTTTTTAAAATGATTTGGATCAATGTCTGTATTTGAGAAGCTACGCACATACCCCTCCCCTCCCCTTAACCCAGCATTAACCCCTAACTTGTTGTCAGTTGGGTTGAGGGGGAGGAGGGGCAGGTATGCATTTGCTCAGATAGTGGCTTTGATTTCAAGGAACACTAAGTTCTCAACAACCAAACCTAATTATAATGTTTTGAGATTCATTAAAACAAAGTTAATTTGTTCCCTTATTTCAAGATATTTTATTTAGCTTAGAGGTAATGAAGTGAAGTCGTCTTAGTTTAGAGTACCGGTTGTGTGGTAACTCATTTCGCAATACTCCTCCTTGGGAAAGAGTGCTCCGTGAAAACTGAACCAGAGACGGCTATATTAGTTCTGTACTAGTTCTTCACTATTCATAGTTTATGGAATTATGTTAGAGCGGTTCTCAAATGACTCTTGAAGTGACTTTAACCGGACAAGCAATGTTAAAGGTTAAAAGTTATCTACATGGTGGTTATGTTTTGGCCAATTACTAGCGGTG